TTTGCCTTTTGATAACGTTTAGTTTTCCTTTTTGATATCTTATACTTCGAATGCGTTCACAGACATGGTGGGGATTCCATTTTCGCGGGAAAAAGTGCCGTAAAATGTGTCTAAAAATAAAATGGTCCGTAAAACGCCCGTGACATAGGCCTAGTATGGGAGTTGATCGCTCACGGCCAGACACTCTTTCCCTCTCTTTGGGGGGATAAGCCAGTCCACAAACAAGAAGGACAACTGAATCAAGGCTAGCTTATCACTAGTAGAATGATGGACGGTTAAAAAAATTCGCCGACAATTAAATTCTGGTCTGACTCCCTGCTCGCAGATGTCCTTCTATAAAGTTTAAAACTGACCAGAACGCGCGAGTGTGAGTCGATCAAATCTTTTAAATCCAAAGTCTTACTTTCCGGCTAATAAAATGAACTGTATGTAAAAAAATGAAAGACAAATAGCGAAAAATTCCAACTTCTAATCAGATCTTTTCTGATTTTTAAATCAAACTGTGTAAATCGAACTGAATCAGTGCATGGAACCTCGTGTTGCCTGTTTTTATCTCACTTGTGCTATGGAATTTGTGTGAAAATCTTCATTATATTTCAAAGAGCTACACAATCACCAGGACTACAATTGACCGACAACATACAGAGCGGGGGCAGCTGTAGTGTCAACCATTACTAGTTTTTAATGATATGATGATAAGGGATTGAGAGTCGCTCTTACCCTGAAACACGCCCAGGCCAGGCGAAAATTGGTTGGAGACTAGCTTCAAACCCGACTCACTGGACTGCGAACTCAGACGTATTTCCGGTCGTCGCTTCTCTCCAGCCGAAAATTAACTGAGGGGAAGGGGTAGCTCATCCTCGGAGACCCAGGGGCAGTCAGTCGGGTCGGTAGAAAAGGCGCGATGAAAGTTCTCCCGACCCGACTAATTGCTCCTGAGTCTCCGAGGATGATGTTTCATCTGTGAACGAGTGTCACAAAATAGAGGCGAGAAAAATTGACCGCATGTGATCGAGGCAAAATGTGCCAGCCAGTCCAAGATGGCACTCAAACCGTGACATGGCATGACATCCAGAAAGCTACTCGCAGGATCTCCCGCGGGACTCGATTAGTTAGAGTTCTCCTTCGTCGACCGCAAATATTGACAGGTATTACAACGTGTGATGATTATTCCAAATTGCGACGGTGGCGTTTACAGTAGTGTGATCTATTTTGCAAGACGGATGCTTAGACATTTTCGCCAGTGAATTATTTCAATCATAACCCACTCCAGGCAACGTCACCCTGTCGCTTGCTGTTTCCCTGGATGCAAAATTTATAAGAGGAAAACCTCTGCGCTCGCCATTGCGAAGAACGTTTTACTTCAAACATTCCGGGGAATATACGAGGAGCTGAGGTACTTGCAAGAGTCAATTTAAACTGGTTTTCTGGAATGTAATTTGGCTTTGATGGGTTATTTTATGCATTTAGGTATCGATCCATTTGTCTACTTCTTATTAATTTTCCCGGGCGAGTATCCCGTGATGGACTCCTCTCTTTTACGTTCTCGATACACGCAAAACTATCTGGCTCCAGTTGTTCAAAGATAGATAGCGCTATCCATCGGATAAATCACAATCCAGTGGATATTAAAGTGTTTAGTGGGGAAACCAATTGCACTATCCACTGGATAGAGATTTATCCGCTGGATAGTGCTATCCACCTTTTCAACAACTGGGGCCAGATTTCAACTGCGCGTACTAGCAGAAGCGACACTAACGAAATCTCCTTCTTAAATAAGAGCGCTCATGCTTCTTACGAAATTGATGAGGCTTTTTCTTTAACATAAAGGAAATACTTTTTACTTGCCGAAAATTCGCGTCAAAACAAAACTACATTAATGGCCTGTACATTAGACTGCGAACGTTTCGTACTAGACATGAAATGTAAGAAAGTCAATTACTGAGACCAGTGCTTTCAAAGCGCGAAGGCGTTTTTTAC